TGAAGCTCTTCTAATAGCAAGATAAGACTTTTAACTCATAAACACAGTCCACAAAGAGACTGGGATCTTTTCTGATCCTTTTATAGTACACCATTATAGAACACAACCGTTTTCTTTATGATTTAATTTACCAGACTAGCTATAGCTTAACAATGTTAGTAAAACCAAGGAGGTTAGAAATAGATTCCTAAATCAGTCATTGTTAGCCTGATTAAAACTTAGGTAAGGAGAGATCCTTTGCAGACTGCTTAGGCCACCATCGTACTGTATCATAAGATAGGAATACATCACTCTCTGGTGTTTAGTTGTGGTCTCAAGTTCTTATTTCAAGAATTAAGACATAGAGCACAACCATAATTTATAGAAGGCAAAACCAAGTCTCAACACCATAAAGAATTTAATGTCTCTAAGATAAATACCAAGTGGATTACTCTTATGTTACAAAATCTGGCAGCCAGCAAGATAAATCCCTGTACACGAATACATGGAGGTATAGCTTTAATACCTCATTAAACCAGCCTTGTTTTAAATCTTGTCTTTTATAAACCTTGTTTTCAGGACAGGACAGAAATCATACAAAAATCCATCTTAATCCAAAATATCTTGGAGACCTGTTGTCTCCTTGGTAGGCCCACTGCATGTGGTCACTAATCAAGATGGCAGTGAAGTCACATGTACTCCCCCTTTTCCAACCCTAGTTAAAATGCCAACTGCCCACGTTGCTGTACTTAATTAAGATGGTGGCAAATCACATGTTGTTTCCCAGAACAGTTTTAATTTAGAGTTACAAGTTCTAAGTTAACATTTTATTACAGATTTTTAACCATACCCAATTCCCTTATCTGTTTTTTTAATAAGGTAGAACATCATAAAATAAATTTCATATTATTTATTCCCAAATGACATATGAATCTCTCATTACAACAGATTCAGTGGCCAGAAAGCCCAGAGGCAGATTCTGAGCCCAGACAGCTAGTTGCAATACTAACAGCTGAGCTATCACCAAGAAACAGGGAACATGTAAACTTAGGCGTCCAAGACCAGTCAGAAACAAGCATGCAGTGGCCACATATATTTACACACCCAGTTGAGCCTGAAGTACTTCTGTGTGGCTCCCATGTCCACAAGAAAACATACAGGCACAGATCCATACATACATATGAAATAGACAGAACAAGAAAAACATACAGGCACAGATCCATACATACATACGAAATAGAACTTTTCTAACAGTGAGACAAACAAAACTTTCTGTAGGAAACAGACTTTGTTATAAATTATATAGATTATAAACCTTGCCAGATGAGCAACTTACAAGTCCTGAAATAAGAATTTGCAGTATAATTTTAAGACATAGAGAAGTATGCAAAGAAATCATAGGAATGAAAGATTTTTAGGAGCAAGGAAGTAGAGCCTTAGAAGTAAGGGATTTTGGAAGTGTAACAGAGCAAGTTTAGATATAAAGTATTTGGGACTCACTTGTTTGTAGCAGTTGCAGTTAACAATTTTTGAGAATTTGAAAATCAAGTTTGCCATTTGTGGCCAGTGATTTGTACTGAGGCATGCTGTTGTAATACAATCTGAGTCCATGGAGGAAGAGAGGGAGGGTTGCAAAGTGGAACACTGTGTGAGTGTTCCTATAGGGGACATTAAGAGTGAAAAATAGCTGCAGGATTGCTGCAGGAACTGAGAGTTAGCAGCAGACAAGCCACATGTGTCCATGTGGAAAGTTATATGGGGCAGAGGGAAGCAGTGCTGAAGAATTGGACTCTAGAATCGGGAATAAAATCTATAGACAAATGATCCACACATAACCTTATTGAGGTTTAGATCAGTAGATGATGTAAAGAACAGGCATGTGCTGGGCATAAAGCAGCTGGCCTCTCCATCTCTGACTCCTACATTGTAACAAATGTAAGAATGGGACATTTATGCAGTTTAGGTTGGGAGAGCAACAGAAACAGAGAGCAGAGCTGCTTCAGGCGGATGGAATCCCAGCATGGCCAGACCAAATGCCAAGAACGCCTACTGAGTAAAAAAGGCAAAGTGGGTACATTTTTGTGGGCCTTGCCAAGGTATTCCACTAAGAATAGACACCAGGAACAACAGAGTTAGTGCAAGAGGTTTATTAGGGACTGGGGAGAGTGAAAGAGGCATGTCTACAGGTAGACAGTACAGTGAAGAGGAAGGGACGGGAGTACAGAGCTCAAAAACTCTGGATAAGGGAGCTCAAACCATTTGTTGTATGGTGTGAGTCAGCCCCCATTTGGATAAATTTTGTATGAGCCACCCCAGGGGTGACTGAGGATCTGGTTTAGACTCAGTGTTGCCCATTTCTAAGCCTGTGCCAGAGACCAAAGACTAGGGCAAGGCATCCCCCCTTAATAGACGGGGACTCAGCAGTGGGGGTAGCCTTTGGGTAGGACATCTTCTCTGCAAAGGTCCCTGGGAACAAAGACAGCCTTTACCCTGGTAATTGGTTGGGTTTGTCCCAGCACGGTTGAGGCTTGGAAGGATATCCTGGGGGTCTTCGACCCAGAAGAGGTACCCAGACCTCTGTGGGTGGTGGCTTGGAAATGGGTGACTTACCGTAAGTCAAAAGTCGATTCTGTCTGCTGGAAAGGAAGATAAATGGAGAGGAGTGGCCCCCATGTGGCTAGGGGACCAATCCACCTTCATGAAGGTTCAACTCTTCCCAGGTTTCCTGCACAAAGATAATAGATTTTCTGTACCCCGTAATAGGTTTCTCTGATGAAGCAGTAATCCAGATCAAACCAAATTGAAAAAGTAAAAGAACAGGTTTATTTTGAGCAAAACAACTCCTGAATGAATCCTCCAGCCACCAGAGATCGAGGTGGGAGAAGGGGCAGAAGAAAGTCACATGGCCGAACTAAAGCAGGGCACTTATGTACCCTGTAGGTGAGGGGTGATGACGTGTCTGCCACAGACTGGGTTTGTGCCCAATTATAACACTTTGGGTGGGGACTTGGGCCACTGGCAACTTCAGGGGATGAGCCACCATAGCCTCCAAGAATGCAGAACTGGGCTTTTTGGCAGTTTTTCTTTGTTGGAGATTCTCTGTAAGGGAGGGGTTTGGAGAGAGGAATGGGACTTTTTGGGTATTAGGGTGCCAGTTCAAATCTGGCTTCTTCCTGTTGGCATGGGACAACATGGGGAGGGGTGGAGGGTGTCAGTGGGCTCATGCTTAGTGAGAGTTATAGGTGAAGAAGCATGTGGTTCCAGCCAAACAATAGCACCATTTAAATCTTTGGATTCTATGTATATATCCCTCCCTTACACACGCTTTTTTAAAAAGAAAATGTACTTTTTTGTTGTATTTTTTTTGTTTTTATTTTTTGTGTCTTTTAAATGTCTTTTATCTGCTTTTTATTGGTATTGATTTTTTATAATCCTTTATAACTAATTTTTGTTTTCTCAGTCCCATTTCCTTTCATATGGCTTTGTCAGTGGTTTTAGTGTGTCATGATTTGAATAAAAATGGCCCCTTAGGCTCAGTGGGAGTGGCACTATTAGGAGGTGTGGCCTAGTTTGAGTAGATATGGCCTTGCTGGAGGAAGTGTGTCACTGTAGAGGTGGGTATTGAGGTCTCAGATGCTCAAGCCAGACCCAGTGTGGCACTCTCTTCCTGCTGTCTGCTGATCTAGATGTAGAACTCTCAACTACCTCTCCAGCACTGTGTCTGCCTTCCTCCCACCATGCTCTTTGCCATGATAACGATGGACTAAACCTTTGAACTGTAAGCCAGCCCCAATGAAATGTTTTTCTTTATAAGAGTTGCCATGGTCATGGTTGCTGTGGGATTCTTTCTGTATGCTGTGAATATGTGTTGCTTTGATTGGTTGATAAATAAAGCTATTTGGCCTATGACAAGGCAGCTTAGAGGCAGGCGGGAAATCCAGGAGAGAGACAGGAAGAAGAAAGGCAGAGGCGGAGGAGACGCCATCCCACTGACCAGGGAGCAGCATGTAATGGCACACAGATAAAGCCATGGAACATGGGGCAACATATAGATTAATAGATATGGGCTGAGTTTAGTTAAGAGCTAGCTAGCAAGAAGCTTGAGCCATAGGCCATACGAGCCACAGTTCTTAATTAATATAACCCTATGTATGTTTATTTGAGTCTGACTGGCTGCAGGGCTGGGCAGGACACAGGAAAACTTCCAGTTACATATGGTGTCTCTTCACAGCAATAGAAACCGTAACTAAGACATAGTGTGACTCTTCCTTTCTCTGGTGATTTCCTTTTCTTTGTTATACTCAGGTTTGTCTTGGATCTCTTGTGTTGATATGCTGCATCTTGTAAAGTTTCTTTATCTTTGCCATGAACTCTTATTCTTTGGTGGGAGTTGTTTTTGAGTGATGTTAAATTGTGGCAGTGCTCACAGTCATAATTTTTATTTTTTTCTGGTGAGTTTTCTTTCACTACCTTTGTTTTCTCTATGTTGGTTATTCAATATCTGACTATCTTAAGTTCTTTCTGGCCTAGCTGTTTGTCCAGATTCATATAAAGGTCCTAGCTATGTCCAAGGCCATGAAGAAATACCCAGTTTTCTTATTCATAGGAGTCACATGTGAATTCTTCTAGGTTTTATTGATGTTTATACAACAGTGATTAAGCATTATAATTGCTTATAAAATTGAGTATTGTGCCACAACTTTCCCCTAACCCCCCCCCGTGTGTGTGTGTGTGTGTGTGTGTGTGTGTGTGTGTTTGTTGTTTGTGTATGTGTGTGTGTGTGCATAAATTGGACTAGAAAATTCGGGTCACCATGCATATACCCTATTTCTGTTTTCTCATGAGAGACACTAATTTCTCTTTCATTGTGCCTCTTATTTTGAAGAACCAGCTGAGGAATGTAGTCAATGCTTATTTACATTTTCCTAGCTGATTTTTTTCCCTTGGTTTTATTAAAGATGAGGTGGCTTTTGTTTTTATTCTTGTTTAGAGATGTTGATAGTTTGACATTTTATCTCTAGGTATTTTACTGAAGGGACTGTTCTTGCACGCTATGCAGATGTTTTGAGTCTTCTGCTTAGATTGTGGCAGATTTGTTGTCATATTCATCTTCTTACAAATGGAATGTCTTCGAGTGGTCTTTCCGGTAAGGAAATGTGATTGGTTCATAACATTATATTTGCTAAATATTTCAATCAGAAGGACATATTTTTATATGACTTGAATTTGGTCTGTAACTTAGGTATTTATGCCTTGCTTTAGTTAAGATTTTTTTGTTGCCGGGTGGTGGTGATGCACGCCTTTATTTCCAGCACTCTGGAGGCAGAGCTAGTTGGATCTCTGTGAGTTCAAGGCCAGCCTGGACTACCAAGTGAGTTCCAGGAAAGGCGCAAAGCTACACAGAGAAATCCTGTCTCGAAAAACCAAAAAAAAAAAAGATGTTTTTGTTTTTGTTTTAATTGAGACAGGATTTTTCTGAGTAACACTACTGGCTGTCCTGGAACTCACTTGGTAGACCAGGCTGGCCTCAAACTCACTGAGATCCTCCTGCCTCTGCCTCCCAAGTGCTGGGATTAAAGGCGTACACCACCATCACTCAACTAGTTAAGATTTTTAAAAATTAACACCTTTATGTATTTGTATATGTATATGCATGGATGCATTTGTGGAGGTCACAGGACATCTTGCAAGAGTCAGTTCTTTCCATTCCATGTGGGTCATGTTGTCAAGCATGGTGACAGGTGTCTTTACCTGCTGAGCAATCTTTCTGGCTCCAATGCTGTGGGATGGTCTGTATGGCAAATGTGTTGCTGATTGGTCAATAAATAAAACACTGATTGGCCATTGGCTAGGCAGGAAGTATAGGCGGGACAAGGAGGAGAATAAAGCTTGGAAGTGGAAGGCTGAGTCAGAGAGACACTGTCAGCCGCCATGATGACAAACAGCATGTGAAGATGCCGGTAAGCCACGAGCCATGTGGCAAGGTATAGATTAATGGAAATGGATTAATTTAAGCTGTAAGAACAGTTAGCAAGAAGCCTGCCATGGCCATACAGTTTGTAAGCAATATAAGTCTCTGTGTTTACTTGGTCGGGTCTGAGCGGCTGTGGGACTGGCAGGTGAGAGAGATTTGCCCTGACTGTGGGCCAGGCAGGAAAACTCAAGCTACACTCCAAGAATTTTTTTATGAATGAAGTGGAAGTATGATGTCTTTGCAGAATTTCCAGAAGAACATTCAAACTAGTTCTTTCTCATATGCTGCTATTGTGGCAGATACTATTTTATGCTTGTGTGGTGTGTATCAAGTGAGATGGCATCTTCTGAGTTTTTCTTAGAATTCCAAATTTATGATGTGTTTTGCAAGTGCCAGAATAAAGATGAAAGATAATTAAGCAAAGTTCCTTATGGAAGATAAACTATTCTAGTTACATTACAAAGTTTGTTTTGCAGCTAATTTTTGAGCCTCTTTTTTTTTTTTCTAGGAAATGATACACCTGAAGAACTGAGAAAGACATTAATAAAGAAGATGAAGTTAATTCTGAGCTCTGGTTCAGATGAAGAATGTGCAGTTTGCCTGGATTCATTAACAGTTCCTGTGATAACACATTGTGCACATGTTTTATGTAAACCTTGTATTTGCCAGGTCATTCAAAGTGAGCAGGTTAGTTTGTTGTTCAGTATGGAGTCAGTGTTTGATGGAGTGGTACAACTTTCTTTGGTGTAATGAAAACCCAACCAAGTCCAGGGATGATAACATGTTCTAACTTGAATTTAATAATGCACCTTTCACAGTTAATTATTTCAGGTGATGTATTTATCATAAATTAAAAGGCATTACTTTTGGGAGGCACTATGTTTTAGTCAGTAATGCTAGTTCTAAATTTTAGATCCTTGTGTTCAATTAAATACATTAATAAAGTGAGACACAAGGAATTTAAGTTTTATAGTAGCCACATTTTTTAAAAAGTAAAAAGCAAAGTGTTTATTTTAATTTAGTATAATATATTTAAAGTAAACTATTTATTGTATTTTTTTCTTAAACTAAGTTCAAAATCTGATGATATTGTACTTTATCACCCTAATCTGTCTCAGCTATGTCTCAGGAATCTGATTGACACATACAGCTCTTTGCCATGTTGAACAAAGTAGAATAAAGTAGGGCTAGATTCTTTTTTGGAAAATGTTTGAAACTGGATAATACTTTAAGCAATCTTTCAGCTAATACAAATTAAAAATATTTCAAATTGATGTGTTACATACATGTGGGAAAATACATAAATTACAGTTATAGGCTTGACTATAAAGTAAACATAGCTGTATGAACTACTACCCTTTTCTACTCCCCCCAGTCATTTATCTTTCCTTCCTAAGAGGTAGTTCTTTGAATAGATTTTTAATGTTTAAATTTTAGTATCTTTTTGTTTTGCAATGATACTGAGTATCTAGTTAAGATACAACCTCATTTTATTAGATTTTGCTTTGAATGAACTTGTAGTATTTGAGAGCTATGGACTTCTCAAGCTCTTATAAGCTTTATAAACTACAAGTTTTATAAACCCTTGCAGTGGTTCTCAACCTTCCCAATGCTGCAACCCTTTAATACATTTCCTCATGGTGTGGTGACCACCAACCATAAAATTATTTTGCTGCTACTTCATAATTGTAATTTTAGTAGTGTTATGAATTGTAATGTAAATATCTGATATGCCAAACAGGGTTGAAACCCACAGATGAGACTTCTTTTGGAGAATTGCATGCATGTTTACTGTATTATAGTTAAGTTCAAGAAATTATTCATCACATTTTACTTAGTAGCAGATGATACTCAGTGCTATGAGCTGCCATTAGTCAAGACTGTACTCTTTTACACTGTCCTTTATATATGTCTCTTACAACTTGAGGACATGTTTGTATGTTTGGAGTTCAGGTATAGGTTGATGAATGTGACAAAAAGCCTGAATAAAATGTTAACCATAAGAAATGTAGAACTTTCAGAAAATTTAGATAAATTTATATCTCTATCCTTATGACAAGTGTGATTCATTCTTTGATCTTTTATATGTAGCCACATGCTAAATGCCCTTTATGCAGAAATAATATACATGGAGATAATTTATTAGAATATCCTCCAGAAGAATTGGCATGTGACAGTGAGAAAAAGTCCAATATGGAATGGACATCCAGTTCAAAGGTAAAGTAGCCATGTGCAGATATTCTATTTTGTATTTAATGAGGAAATATCATATAAAATAGTAATTGTAATTCTGTTTTAATCCTGTCATTGCATATTCTTTTGGTGCTACTGGCTTGTATTGATATTTAGTGTTAAATTTAAGTTGGAAAAGAAAGGGATTTGGATTATTATGGTATTTTTTTCAGTCTCTATTCTTTTACTTTTGCTTTTTAGTTAAATTATATGAAAACCTTTTCAATGTTGGGATTTGTTCAGTGAATACTGCATTATGTGAACCTGATTAAAATTTGTGTGTGCTAATAAATTTTTAAAAACTAGAATGTTTGGACTTATCTTACCAATTGAGATGGAATCTAATGGATACAATGGGTTTTTGTTTTGTTTTGTTTTTTTCAGATTAATGCTCTAATGCATGCTTTGGTTGAATTAAGGACAAAGAACCCCAACATAAAAAGTTTAGTTGTTTCTCAGTTTACCACATTCCTGTCTTTAATAGAAACACCACTTAAGTAAGTTTAACAGTGCTTTCTACTTCACATAGGAGGATTTAGTACTTGTGGGTTGTTTGATAGCAAAAAAAATGTTTTACCAGGTTTAGTCATTTCATCTGTTTAAAATGATATTCCATGTAACCGCAGAACTTCTCCTGAGTATATCTCAAAATTAAGTTCTGAATTAATCAGGAAATAATTGACTTAGTATTTGGCAGGCAGCTAGGTGCTTTATTGAGAAATGAATGAAGGATTGAATGTGTAGTAGCTATGAAAGTGCTTACTTAGCTTGTGCAAGGCCTTGGGTTTGACTGATCTTTAGTACTACATAAATAGTGAAAGAATTTTGTTTAACTAAAATTTGTTAACTATTTAATATTTTTTATAGTATAATATTACCTGTCTGTTTTCTTTTTCTCATTAGAGCCTCTGGATTCGTGTTTACTCGTTTAGATGGTTCCATGGCTCAAAAGAAAAGAGTTGAATCAATTCAATGTTTTCAAAACACAGAAGCAGGATCTCCCACTATAATGTTACTGTCCTTAAAAGCAGGTGGAGTTGGCTTGAATCTTTGTGCAGCTTCTCGAGTGTTCTTAATGGATCCAGTAAGTACTTATATAGACTTTTCAAAATGTTATCTTCCCCACTACCCCAGGCCACCAAACTAAAAGAAAGAAAAAGAAACAACCTGTTTGGTAGATGCCTTTGTAGTTACAATTAATTGTGAAAAGGTAACATTATCCTTATTTTCAGATGAGGAAACTGGTCACAGAAGAGTAAATAAAATTAAACAGTATGCCCAGTTTGTGTGTTCTTAAGTACTATTCTGTGTATTTCTATTCTTCTGAGTACATAAAACATGCCTGTTACAATGCTTTTAAGATTCAGTAAGCAGCACACTAATGAGATCTTACTTTGTGTTGTATGATAAAACATTGGAAATCTGACTATAAATCACATAGTGACTCCTGTTGTGGTGCTGCCTCTATTTTGCCTAAAAATTAGGTCAAATGCAATTTTAAACCTCTTTCTTCTGAGACTTAGGAATTCCTGAAGGAGACCTAAAATGTATATTTTAAATATATATCCTAGCTGATTCAGGTTCAGCTGTCCATCAACATGTTCTGGGTAAGTTTTATTAGCTGATAGAGTGCAGTCACTTGTAGTTGTGTAATTCAGGACCTAGAAATAAGAGAACCACAATTCACTCTGCACTTTTCTCACAAAGACAAACGATCTGAGGTTGCATATACATAGGAGTGTATTTTTCAGAATGTACAGAATGGACTCTTTAGGTATAAGGACCATAGACTGGTTTTAAATTCTAATTTGCTCAATGTGCTATGTGGGCCAGAGTAATCCTGTACAAGTTCTGTATACTGATGCATTTAAGATTTATGGTTCAAGGCTTGCTCCTTGAACCAGAAGATTTAAAACATGTTAACATGTAGACATTTTACTGAGATTAAGAATCTTAGTTATTCCTTTAAGGCTTCCTAGCTTGGTGCATGTGTCATGACTTTTGTGTGTGTGTGTGTGTGTGTGTGTGTGTATGTGTGTATGTATGTGTGTTTCCTTTTTGAGGTTAACCTTCCTAGAGTCATGTTGTAACCACTTCCATGGGTGCAAATCATGGGTAGCAGTGATGTAAATTTTCTTAGTGCTATGGTTAAGTCTAAAGTTAAAATTTATGGTTACTGTTTTAAAAATTTTGTATGTTATGTCATACTAAGTAATTCAGTTGATAATCCTAAAAGTTCATTTTTAGAACAGAGTCCAAAATTATTTTGTCTTGCTTAAGTTGGCCACTCAAGTTATAGTTTAAAAAAACAGTGTCAGAATGTTTTAGCACTCTTGTAGTAGATTAATTTTCACTGAACTTGCCATACTTTTCCATGTCATTTCTAACTTAAAAGCAAAAGCCAGCACTCAGAAAAATAAGATTGAACAACAGAAAACTCATTGAAAATGACAGAAAACTCATTGAAAATGAGTTTTCATAAAGCATTCTCTAAGTGTTGGGGTAAAATTTGAATGGACATCACGAGTTCCTGATGAATCTGGTTACCTCCTTAATCATTACATATGAGAATGAGTTCTGTATGTTTTATATTGTGAGATAATTTAGATTTCTGTTACTTAAACTAGATATATCATTGTCCTTGGAATAAAATATAGGCAATACAAACAATTGATTTCATCTCTTGGTATAATAACTTAAAAATTTCTGTGAAATACAAATAATTTATAAGGTTTTTAGAAAACCATATCTGATATATACTGAAGTCAAACTTCTATACTGGAAAATATACAACTTTTAAATCATCAGCAAAGTAACAGCAGAAGTATTTCTTTTCTCAGTCCCCAGGGAACTAAGAAAAAAATGACAGCTTAAGCATGACATCATCTGCATATAAATTATGATTGTTTCTATTTTCAGATAGTACTTGCTGTGTAAATGTAAATGTACTGTTACCCCAAAATACTGTTTTCAGGTTTGTATGTTGTGTATATGTTTTAGTGTGTATCTGTACAAGTGAGTATGTAGACCAGGGAATGAAGTTGGCTGTCTTTTTCTATTGCTGTTCATGTTACTCCATCAAGACAGGATCTGTCATTGAACCTGAAGCTCACCATTTTGTCCAGGCTTGCTGGCCAGTGAAATCTTAGAATCTACTTGTCTCTGTTCCCCAAACTGATACAAGCTCATGGAGCCATGCCCAGCTTCTCTTTGGTTGCTGGGGATTTCAAACCCAGGTCCTCATGTTTCCACAGCAAATTCTATACCACTGAGCCACCCCTAGCTCTTGCTTTCATTTTTAAGAATCTTCAAATTTAACTTTTTTGTAACTTTCATTATTTATTTATGTGTATGTATCTGCAATGTGCATAGCAGGTGCCTGAGGAATCTAGGCAGAAAGCTTCAGATAACCTGGAGCTGGAGTTACTGGTGATTTTGAAGTGCTTGAATGGGGAGCTGAGAACTGCATTCCAATCCTCTGAAAGAGAAGCATGCACTTTAACCATTGACCCATCTCTCTAGCCCCCAAATTTAATTTTTTTATTTTGAGACAGGGTGGAGCTTGCTATATGGGACTTGAACTCATAGGGATCTGCATGCCTCTGCCTCTAAGAATGCCACTGTGAGGAGCAATGTACTGGTTACCTTGACAGCAATTTCTTTTTTTGAGATTATAATGTAATTATATCATTGCTCCCTTCCCTTTCCTCCCTCTAAACCTTCTCATGTACTTTGCTCTCTTTTAAATTCATGGCCTATTTCATTAATTGTTGTTATAAACATATATGTATGTGTGTATTCCTAAATGCATAAATATAACCTGCTCAGTCTGTATAATGTCATTTGTGTGTATGTTTTTTTCAGGGCTGACCATTTGGTATTAGATGATCCCTGAGGAAGACTAATTTCTCCCACTCTCAGAATTCCTTAGTGGACTGTAGCTCTTTATCCAGTTGGAACCTCTTGAACTTTCCTCATATATATTAATTAGCATGTCAGAAGCTATACCCCTAAAGTCTCACCAACATGACTGCCTCTATCATTTTGAAGCCTTTTGGCTGCTATTGAAGAACTCTGTAGCTGGGTGTTCCTTTTCCTTTATTTCATCATTTTCTTCAGCTTAAGAAAGAACTGATGTACTTTTAAAGTTTATTTTTGAAGTCCAGCTGATACAAATAGATACATATGGTTGCATCAACAAATCTGAAAGAGCTTTTAGGACTTTTGACTACCTTTGAAACGTTTTTGTATTGTATTTCATCAATGGGGAAAAGAAAATCAGCAAAAGAGGAGAAATTTTTTTATATGAGGGCCTGAGAATGACATCTTTTCTGTGGTCATTTAAGCCATCTGAGAGAATGCATTTTCTTTTTACACTGGAAAGTCACATTTTACACTGAAAACTTTCATTTTACACTGAAAAGTCACAAGGTGTTCTGATCAGGTGGCAGATCATTATATTGTTGCTCCCAACACCTGTCAGGCATTTGTTGGGCACAAGTTGAACATCCCTATCTGAGATACTCTAAAACTTGAATCTGTTAGAGTACTAACTCGAACTTCAAAAAGTTTTGGACTTTGGGTTTTTTAGATTATGGATCTATGCAGACATTCCAAAAACCTGAAACACTGAATGTTAAAACACACTGGTCTTAAACATTTCAGGTAATATCTTCAGCTATTGCTGAAGTGGATGGAATGCAGTATACTGGGAGAAGGCTGCCTGTCTTCATAGTGATTGGGGAATAGCTTTCTTCCAGGAACATCTGTAATGTCAGTGTTTGAATTCAATTAGAAAAGAATGATACATATAATGAGATGAAGGACTAGTGCAGAAGACTTACACAGCCAAGCAGTAGTCATACAGTTTTGTTCTCCCTAGGCCTGGAACCCTGCTGCAGAAGATCAGTGCTTTGACAGATGCCATCGACTTGGCCAGAAGCAAGAGGTTATCATCACAACAGTGAGTTTTTAAAGCTACCTATTTTAAGATTATGTTGCTTTTTAAAAGTAACACAGGCAATATATGAATACATTACTGCCATGACTGAAGTAGAATTGTGGAGAAAATGTAAAACACACCCTTTTTCCTCCTTCATAATTTCAAACATGTTCAAAGGGGTTTTTTTCCTCTGTAGCTACATACATTCTTATGTATATATCTCAACATAAAATATTTGAAAGAAAATAGGTTAATACTTTATTATTTTATAATATATTCTTTTCCCTTAAACATGTATTGAAGATTTACTATCTACCTGCATTTAGATCAACACTTTCTTACTGTGGTAAAATGTGTACACAGTTTATCATTTCAGCCATTATTTTAAATACATAGTTCTTCTGCATCAGGAATACTCTACAGTGTGCAGTCATCATCACCATCCTCCTATAGAACTTTTCTGTCGTACTTAACAGAATCCTTCTATATTCACTTTATATAAGGGAGTCTTTACACTCCCCATTGCTCTCCACTACCCAACCACTCATAACCACCATTCTCTTTTGTATCTGTGAATCTGAATCTTCATTATTACCTGCACACAGATCCATCATGAGTAAATAGTCTTCAGTTTTGTAATGAAAACAATGCTGTCATGAAAGATGCTGTACATACATCTTTGTGCACATATACTAGTATTTCTTAAGGATAGATTCACAAAACTATACTTGTGGATTTAGAATGGTTATTAAATAACTTCAAGTTGCCTTCAGTGTAGGCCATGAAATGCCTGGGAGTGTAGCTCAGCAATAGAGTGCTTATTAGCCTATAGAAGGCCTTGGGTTTGATCACTAGCATTACAAAACAAAAAGCAAACAATAATAGTCTTTATGACATATGGAATAGTATGTGTGGCCAAAAGCTAATGAGCATGTACTAATTTGCATATACCTTAAACACAGGCCTTAAATGTAGTCCATATGTCTACTGATCATGGTTGTTTTTCCTTCTGTGAACTACTTGTCCATTTCTTTGCTTTTGCTTGTAGTACCAATAATTTCATAGAGTCAGGGACTTCTTTTTCCATTTTGATTTTAGTTTATTATATATGTTGGAAATGGTTTATTCCCAGCTCTTGTCTGTAAACTTTCTGAGCGTTTTGTCAAGAAAAATTTTAAAGTACTATGATTTCAAATGTGCTCTATTTTTATTTGAACATGTTGTTCAGAGGTCTTTTTTTTTTCTGTAGTTACAGAGAAGTAAGCATTATAAGAACCTTTTACCTTATTGATGTCAAAGCATTCTTTGTTTATATTAGGTTTTAATGTCTTAGGGATGGTGGTTTTATTTGTGCTTTGAAAAAATCATTCTGGCCGGGCAGTGGTAGTGCATGCCTTTAATCCCAGCACTCGGGAGGCAGAGCCAGGCAGATCTCTGTGAGTTCCGAGGCCAGCCTGGGCTACAGAGTGAGTTTCAGGAAAGGTGCAAAGCTACACAGAGAAACCCTGTCTCAAAAAACCAAAAAAAAAAAAAAAAATCATTCTGTATTTACTTCTGATTCTTTTGGAAGATACTGTGTTTTGTGAAATGATTCTACACTTATTCCTTTTCCAAATGAAGAAGCAATTGTTTTGTTACCTTTTGTGTTTTTGGAGTTTGGTTTGTTTTGAAAAGTCCATAGTCTTTTCTTTTCTTTTTTTTTTTTCTGTCCCCCCCCCCCCCCATAGTCTTTTCTACTAGTAGGAAATGTGTATAGGGTCTATTTTTAGTCCATTCTTTTTCACTGATGTCTTCCTGTTCTCAGAACAATACTTGATGATTCTCTTTACTTTTTTACCAAGTATGTTTGTGTTGGGAGCTGTATAAATGGCTCAGCAGTGAAGAGTGCTTGCTGCTCCTTAGAAGACCCAAGCTTGGTTCACATCACACAGATCACACAGCTCACAACCACCTCCAGCTCCAGAAGACCATCCAACACCCTCTTCTGGCATTCATCACATTACACACACATATAAATAGAAATAACTTAATAAAAAAGTATGTTTATGTGGTTATGCAGGTATGTGCATATGGATGCCAGAGGACAACCTAGGGTGTTGCTTCTCAAACACCATGTACCTTTTTTTGATGTTGTTTGTTTGTTTTTGAGATACATTTCATGGGCCTGGAACTTACAGGCTAGGCTGGTTTGCCAGTGAATCTTAGAGATCTGCCTGCCACCTCCCCAGCACTGGAATTAAAAGCATATCCTTCCATGTCTGGCCTTTTAAATGTGGGTTCTGCAGCTTGACTTAGGTTCTACTGAGTCTAGAAAGTATGTTTAGATAACTGATAAAGAGTTCTTTTTAATGTTCATTTTCAAAGTTTTATTAGTTGTCACTGTTATTATTGGAAATTTGAATCTACACCATTATATCCCACTTGAGGAATATTGCTCAGGATTTATGAAATTTATAATTCCTTTGATAACTATCATTTTTAGCAATAAGAAATGTTTCTGAATAAAAACATATTAAATAATGTATCTAATTTTTTAAATGTATTTCAGTAAAGTTCTATAATACAACTTCTATTGTTATTACAGTAACTAGGACATTTTATATTATAGTGTTTATTAGGAAAACTTTATTATTTCACATTAAATGCTTTCCTGGAAAGTTTCTAGTGGAAATCTTGAATAAGACTTGGACATGGAATAAGACTTTTATTCCTAGGTGAGAATTTTATTACTTTTAAGATATTTATCAGGAATGTTGAATTTTATCAAGTTTCAATTTATTCAAATATCAATTTAATAATCTGTTGCCATATTGACACATACCTCCTCATATAAGTGAAGACTGTCATTTGTGGAAGCTTGATTTGACTCCTAATATAAAATACTAAATTCATTTTGATAATATTCTAGCTATAAGGATACCTATATATTTTGTGTGTGTGATTTTTCTCATGTGATGATGGTGGGCAGCGGTATAAATTCTGTGCTTTCAGCCATATTTTTCATACAAAAAAAAATGACATTGGGTAAGAAAGGGAAGCCATGCTTAGCTCTTGCATATGTTGTAAATATCCTCATTGCATGTTGAGAAAAGGTTATTTATATATATATATTATATATATATATAATTTATATATATACATTTAAATGTGAAATAATAAAGTATTCCTAACTGGAATACTATAAAATGTCCTATTACTTGCAATGACAAAAGAAGCTGTATTATAGATGAACTTGTTTTTAATGATACTTCAAATAGCAATAACTTCCATTGTAAACTGGCCTGACAGATAAATATGTATTTACATATATACGTGTGTATGGATATATAATATAATCATTTGATTTTGAAATCTGGTTATTGTTGAAATACAAATTCTTTTAAAGCTGTTATTTTTATTCTTTCTGACTTTAGTGGGCAGTGTTATTAGCATGTTAATCCTTTGTGTGGCTCAGGTATAGTCTAATTTTCTTAGTAAGGTTTTTTTAAAGAAAATTTAAAAAACAAAAACAAAAAAAACTTTGTTACCTGAAAAGTTCCTAACCAACTTCATTTTTTTTTCCTGAAGTTCATTGTAAAGGATTCTGTTGAAGAAAATACGTTGAAAATACAAAACACAAAAAGAGAACTTGCAGCCGGGCGGTGGTGGCACATGCCTTTAATCCCAGCACTTGGGAGGCAGAGGCAGGCGGATCTCTGTGAGTTCAAGGCCAGCCTGGGCTACCAAGTGAGTTCCAGGAAAGGCACAAAGCTACACAGAGAAACCCTGTCTTGAAAAACCAAAAAAAAAAAAAAAAAGAGAACTTGCAGCTGGAGCTTTTGGAACTAAAAAAACAGATGCTAATGAAATGAAACAAGCTAAAATCAATGAAATCAGAACTTTAATTGATTTATAATTTGTGGGATTTTGTAAAGTCAGTTGGAACAGATACCTAAGTTTTACACATGAAAAATACAGATTTAAGAAAGATCTAGAGAATATTCTTTCTATATGGGGCATATTTTATATTAATGAAGTGGTATTATTGTTATATCTCTTCTATATATGAATCTTATATTTAATGATACTTCAAATAGCAGTAAGTTCCATTGTAAACTGGCCTGAAAGAGGAGGTCATAGAAGTTCTTTTGCTCTCCAGCTTTTCGTAATGTCTTTGCTGAGTATTTTCCTACATCTCCCATGTACTCCACATCTTCATACTTAAGTGTGGTCCTAGTTTATACTTTTGACCCGTAGATTAGTTTTTCTTTGTTGGAAATATTTTGTTATTCACCAAAGTCTTTAAATGGTGATTCAGTGGATCCACAGTCCTTGTAAATTATTAACAAATATGTATGCAGACTATAAGAAAGATTTTATTGGATGTTCAAAAGCTATAGTTGCATCCATAACCAAACCTTAAGTGAAAGACCAAAGTTCAAGGGAGCAAGTTAATTGCAATTTTTTATAGCTTTGTTGAGATGTAATTTATGTATGTGACTTGCAGTATGTATTTAGAAAAAGTTAGGGATCACATCAAAGTTGTGTGTCCATTTTAGTGAAGTGGTACTACATTCATTATTTAAATGTAATGATAGAAGCACATGGTGTAATTAGTCTGTAGGGGTGAGGGAACCAGTTCTACCCAGTTTGTTTGAATGCTTAAATTATGTGATTTAAATAGATCTTTCTATAAATTGTTTTTATTTATGTAGGGTTTCTGGAAATAACTTTAAATTTTTATAATACAGAAGACTACTACTCTATGTGAGTGGCATGATAATTGGGATGGAAGTTGGGCTGGATGACCTTCAAAGTCGTTTTAAATCTTAAAGACATCTTAGTCCTGAATGTAAAAATGCCTTTGTGTGTTTAGAATCAGAATTTAATATTGGAATTTCACTAATTTATCCAAACTTTTTTATCCTTTTTTGTTAATAAGAAAACTTACTAGTTGCCACAGAATTATAGATGAGTTTGAGTCATATTTAAAATAAATAAGCAGTCAGGTTGTGTAATTAGTAGTATTATTTTCCTGTGGATTTTTTTTTTAAATCCAGACAAGAGATTCCTGAGAAAAGCTTCATGGATTATGGCACATACTAAAGAACATCTCAGATTTTATTTATGCTACAAGAGACTTGACTGAAAGAAATGATAGGTACCCTAGTAAGGTATATGCCATATGTCTCTCTCACCAAATCTTCCCCAACCTGTTTTTGCTCTAAGAGAACAGGATTAACCAGCAAGAATCTTCTCAGCCCCATTTCTCATAATAACAGATGAGGCAGGCATGGTTTTCAGGACGACATTTTTGCAGGGGTGAATGTGGAATGACTGGGATTGGACTGCTGCGCTTAGGAACCCCACAGGAAACTTGTAGGACTAGCATCACATATAAATCCAGTCTCATCACATATGGGATTAGGGTTCTGTAGTACCCACACAATGAGATTAAGTATAAACTGTTTCTGGCCCAAACAAACAAGAAAGAAACCCAACTTACCTATTTAATTACAGATAAACTTACCCAGAAAACTACAGCACTGTGCTTTAAAACATATTCATAGCAATCAAGTTTATCAAGCAAACTTTTTAGTATATTAAGTATTAATAAAAAAGTTAATTCAAGATACATAAACCATTGGAATAAAAATTTGATGCTATGTTGTTTTATTACTTAGAAATATACTGAAAATATTGTATTTCTAATTGTGTTTCAAACTGAATTTTTCTTTGAATTTAAAATCAATAAAAACCTAAAAAAAATTTACCTTCCTTGGTGTCATCAAATAATGACTATTTTCTTTTTAACAGAAAAAAAGATTGTCTCACTTCTATAAAGATGACTGTTGCACATTTTTCATTGAAACACTTTAAAAAGTACAGTTACTGTAATTTATTCATTTATATTTAAGTTTTGTATACCTGTTGAAATTCTCATTCAGATCTTAGTGTATATTGAAGTTTATATAAAATGTATTGAAATATTGGGTTCCATTTAATTTCCTCATTTTAAGAACAGTGGGAATTATTATAATAACTGTGTACGAAATCATAGATTTTGTCCTTAAAATTATACTTTTAGGATTAGAAATAATCCTATTTAGTTTATTATCAGTGAGTATATTGCTCACAAGGGGATAGAAATGTAAGGGCATATTGATCACTTCCATAAATGTCCACCTTATAATTTGAGTTACTGCCTCTTTTATACATCTTATTATAAACTTGTGAGATTCCAGCTCCCACCCTTTGAAGGGTTCTTAGGTGGAGGGGAGAGGGATAAGAAAATATCAGATAGAGAGGCCTAGACGACGAGAAGAAAGACAGAAACACAAGATAGCTTCGGGAGGGCCTGGATCAATATTCAACAGCCACTTCAGTTATTCAAAAGGGTTTTTTATATGTCAAGGGGAGATGCAAAAGACCTCCCCCTTGCAGGATCAAAGCACACTGTACAGCCAAGTGTAGATCCTTCTAAACACCTGGTAAACTTGCCTGTGGCCAAATCATCTCATTATTCAGCCCTGCTGAGTAAAGCAAGCCTAAATTCTCTGACCCTGAGTAAGGTCTCACTAGCCCATAGTCTCTGTGGGCTCCCACATAAACTTTCAGGGGTTTGTGGGTATTCTGAAATTTGAGCTGCATGGAAACAATTTTGTAAGATTTTTTTTCAGTAAGGTTTAATTAAGGCATCTTTGAAAAATGAAAGTGAGGAAAGATGAAGCCTACCAAAGAAATGGTAGGCCATTTGGTGACACTGTAGCCACAGGGCTTGATACACCTTCATACTTATTGTGCTATGTACTGTTTCTAACTCTAATAATATCAATAGACTTCACTAAATACCTATTATATGAAATCTAAACATCATATAAGCTTTTCACCTTAAAGCTTAATTTCTTGTGCTGTATTAAAAAGAGAACAAACAATTCAGTTCTTGATTTCACAGAATTTGATGTTTATAAATATTTTCTAAATTAAATATTTCCAATCATACTGGTTCCTATTTACTTTATTTGGATTACATATTGCTTAGCCACAAAAATAAGGTGGAATTCTGTTTATCTCTAGCAGACTCAGAAGCCAAAAAAGGAAGCAGCATATGACTTAGCCAAATTACCTAGAAGAGGTTTGTGTTTCTATTATGTGTTCTGACCAGTGGCAGAGACACTTCAGTATTTTCAGTAAATGTTTCTTGTACTTGAAGATCATAGCAACTCATTGTCTACTAGTCCAAGTGTCCTAGATATGCTGTGGGATAATGCTTTTGTACACTGAATTACTAAAACGCTGATTGGCCAATAGCCAGGCAGGAAGTATAGGTGGGATAAGCAGACAAGGAAAATCCTGGGAAGAGAAAGGCAGAGTCAAGAGATGCCAGCCTACCATCCAGGGAACAGCATATAATGAATGGCACACAGGTAAAGCCACAAAACATGTGGCAACATATAGCTTAACAAAAATGGGCTGAGTTTAAGTGTAAAAGCTAGTCAGTAGTAAGCCTGAGCTAATGGCCGAACAGTTTTAATTAATATAAACCTCTGTGTGTTTACTTAGGTCTGAGTGGCTGAGGACCAGGTGGGACACGGAAAAACTTTCAGCTACACAGATATTTTATCACTAATATAATTTAAGTAAGTTAAGGAGTTATTACCAGCCTCTGAGTGGCTGCCTAGTCATTCTTGTCTTTAGGTATCCAAACTTTTGTGTATTCATTCAGCCATACAGAAATAGGAATGACTTAGTATCTATAGGATATAATAGAAAAGAAAACAGGGACCATAAAAGTGAGGGCATAAAAGCCATTACAGCTTTTGTCAATTAAATCTTGTTTTTCCCATTCATGTTCTCTGCTGAATTATTTGTGATACTTTGTTTTGGTTATAAAAGGTTGTTTTAGGCCCCACTCTTGACAGCTTGCCACCCAATACAGCCTACACTCTATTGGTATTGTGGGTCATTGCTTTAGGGTGACTGACTGAATACATAGATTCAGAGTCTAACAAACTTATATTTGTATTTTTTTTTAATAAACCACTAGAGATCACTGGGTCCAGGAATGAGTCAGATAATTCTGAATGACTACTGAGTATACTAATTACTGACATGGCCTGATAATTTTAAAGTATCAAGAGTCAAACTATCTGAATACTCACCAAGGATGTAATGTATGATAGATAGACTAGGTACCTTTTATCTCACTTTTCTCTACTGATCAGATCTGTCACAATCACTTGAGAATAGATTTAAATGTCTTAGATTAATTTTAAAGCATATACCAGTGTGAAGGTTTATATTTTTGAAACTGACCAATTGCACAAATTTTGAAAAATTACTGAATGATTTTTCCCCAAGGGTGAGGTAGAGAAGTACTTAAACAACCAGGATATGTCAATAAGTCTTTATTTGTTATATACGGTGCTACCACAGGTAACCATCAGAGCACACTGCAATTTTCAAGTAGACAGAACTGAAAAAAAAGTAAGTCTGCATGCTGCCTTCTTGGTGCATAGAAAACTGGTGAACTAACACTAGCTGATAGACTTATGAGTCATCCCACAGTGTTAATAAAGGCTGGTAGCCTGGAAATGGAATTAACTCTCTGACAGGCTTTGGGCAATTCTAAATTGCAAGTCTAGTGAAAGGTACAACAAACAAATATGGGACAGTGTCATATCTTGTTTTGAAGTGAGATAGATGGAGAGTCAAGTTCTGCACCACTTGTGAGAACCATCTCAGTAGCTTAATGTTGGCTTTCCTTTACCACACATGTTGGCAATTGAAAAATTAAGTTTCTGAAAAAGTTTAGGGTTAAACAGAGCACTTATTCATATAACAGAATTGCTACTTTATAACATCTGACCAGTTCTCACCTTTTCTTCTGCCCAAACCCTCATCTGATGAGGTTTAGTGAAAGCCTCTAACAACTGTAACAGACTTTTCAAACAGCTTCACATACTAAGTATCAGAAATGTGCCTAAGACGTGGATGTGTCCACAGGGAAATGGCAGTGCTTCTATTGTAGGTAAGTGTCAAGTTTTTTCTTGATGTTATCAAAAGAATCTGCTCCCATGTAATCAGCCTGGCCCTGTTCCCACCGCTCCTTCCTTTCTTCTGAGGTCATAGAAGGCTGTGGTGTAGCTGGGGCCTCCCCAATGGACAGGTGTGACAAAGCTCCTGAGACATGTTCCTAGAAGAAAGAGTCACCAGAGGCACCTTAAGAGCTGAAGTTCTGATGAACTTAAATAATCAATAAACAGAACATGAGAAAATCCAAAATGAGTCATCATGCAAAAACTGAAAAGCATTACATGAAACAAACAAAAAAGACAAGAATACAAGGGCCATATGATTTTTTCCCTGAAAAAAATGAAGACTTCTTGACTCAGTGAAAACATTGGGAGAACAAAGTAATTAGGGTTAATGTTTAAGTTCTTCATACCTTTCTACAGAAGCCACAAGAGAAAGCCAGTGTATAGACCAAGTCTGAAAGCTGCAAACAGTTCAGTAGAAAGTGTAAGATGGACGGACAAGGGAACACAAATCTCATGATAAATTCTTGATCCATGTGGGCTTGGAAAGGTTGAGAACTTAAACAAAATGATTCCTCAGATACTGTGCTTCACAGAGAACTTACCCAGAGAGAGACCATGCACACTCAAGTCATTGTTTTTATGAAGGAAAGCTAAGTGATTTGAAGCTGTACCAAATTTTCCTGTTCAAGCTTTCATTTGGATTGCAAGTAGCATCTATTCTTTCAGCTTCTGATAATTTGCTTGGTTTTAGACAACTGTTTTTGTTTCCCATCTTCACCTTTTCTTGGCTTATAATCCTCAGCTCTTGTATTGTGGAAAGAATGGGACATGCAGCAAATCTACTCTACCTTAAATTAGATTCTCATTGCATATGGTTAGGTAATCAAGTGTACCATAAAAGACAACTGTGCTGCCATTCAAAAGCTCTATGCTGAGTTAGTACTGGAAACTTACTGGAAAAAGAACAGATTTTAAAAAATGCTTTTAACAAATCTACTCTACCTTAAATTAGATTCTCATTGCATATGGTTAGGTAATCAAGTGTACCATAAAAGACAACTGTGCTGCCATTCAAAAGCTCTATGCTGAGTTAGTACTGGAAACTTACAAGAAGAAGAACAGATTTAAAAAAAGGCTTTTAACAGAAAAAAATGGTGGAACAATATTTTTATACTTGGTTTACTGTCATAAATCTTACAACTGTGTGTAAATATATTGAAAATCCCAAAAGTTTAAGTAAAGGGTTTTTGTTGATGTGTAAAATTATAGATGAGTATTTAAATGTACTTAAACTCTAAGGAGTTTAGGCATAGGGATTTTTGCTGACATGTGAACAACCATTAATCCATGTATGTAAATGTTCTGAAGCTCCAAGGAGTTTAGGCACTGTAACGTCAGAGTGCAGGCAAAGCAAGAACATATGGACATCAGATCTGCCTTGCCTTTGCCTTCTACTTGCAAATACACAGGGATTAAAGACATGGTCGCTTATCATTCTCTACATCACAGTACAGGAAGTTGAGTTTACAGTGAATGTCTTAGAGACATGTCCCTAAGGTCAAGCTTGGTATGGAGATAACCAAATAGATTATTTAATTAAGAAAATTCTCCCTTCTTCTGCCATCAAATGCTATACTTAATTATTGGCTCTAGAGATAAACTTTCATAAAGATTATAGTCTTTCAGATGGGTTTGAATCATAGAAGTTATTGTAACCTTTTACATGAATAAAATCTCATGACTTCTCTAAGTTGTATAATTTATCTACAAAGAGGGGATATTAACAATAACTACTTACTGGAATGGACTAGGCAGTGAAGGACTTACTGTGTTGCTAGCCACTGCTGTGAATAGGATTATGATACAGTACTATTAAGAATATGCTATTTACTTCTCCCTTTCTCATGCTTATATTGGATACTACCTCATCATTTATTCATTAGGGGTTTTTTTTATCTTAATGCATAAAATAACATTCTTCATCTTCTTCCAATTCATCATGAAGAACAAAACTCAGAAAAGTACCTTTAAAATCAGAAAACATGCTAATGAAAGTGGTTGTTATAAAATTTACTGTGTCATGTCCCTCTTACAAAGGGATCATTTCAAGATCTAAGGAGAATAAAACAGGAAATCAGAATATTCCTACAGTATTTATTATGTATTATATATTCCTATTATTATAATTTTCACATAAAGTTCATTTTTCTAAGCAGATGGCTAATAAAAGATATATTTAAAAGTTTGAGGTTTCTAAGCCATAAATGTGGCATTTGCCCCACCTCTCCCACCCAGGGCTGGAGATGGAAGGTAGGGCTTTCACATACTATGTAAGCATTCCCTTACTAGGCTACATGCCTAGCCTAGGCACTCTTTTCTTGTATAGATTTATAATATTAGGAATCATCTCACCATAATTTTTAATGACCAGTGGGCCAAGAATTCTGTAATTACAATGTATGGATGTACAGAAGAATTCCAAAAACATATTTATTGAAATTTTCCATACAATCTACTTTTGGTTTTCTGTGCTGTTGTCATTTACCAGCTATAAAATGGCCATAGCTTTTCCCCACACAGTCCTACCTCTATTTAAAATAATAGTACAATGGCTGAATTCTATCGATATATCAAGTTTTGAAAGTACAGCACTGTATTTCCTGAAATAAAAGTGAAAGCAAACCAAACCTACCATCATTAGATAGGAGCAGGCATCTTTGACAAGGCCATAGTGTTGGAGCAGGGGTAAAACACTGGTGGTGAAGATATCCCACCACAGGTTCAGAAATTCTGGATGACTCACGGTTGGGTCTTGACATTCACATTGGACACTTTTTGTTTGGTGACTGTAAGGGTAATTCCATGGCTTGATTCGTCCCAAGAAGTGCACAACTTTGGCATTTGCACCAAACCTGCCAAGTGAACAGTAGAAAGGGTGAGTAGATTCTGAGCAGTAACAGAGCATTAGCACCTTTTTCTGTGTGTAGCCTCAGTTGTGCACCTTCCATCCGGAGGTAGCAGTTGGAAAGAAAAATACTCTAACTGTAAGAATGGGAGACACTTTGAAAATGCTCATGTTCTACCTCCCAGTAACTAAGCTCTTAGGCACACATCCTAAAGAGATGTATTTGTGTAGTGGCTGACATCACAATGTCACAACTACATTGCTTCTAGTCAAAGCAGAAGCAGTCCATACCCATATTAGGTAAAGTTAATTGAACAGTAAATGTGCATTCTCTCCTTCCTTCACAGAAAGAGTGTACTTCCTACTTCATACTAAACATGGTCATATGATTTAATTTTGGTCAATGGAAGATAGAAATGTGATTGCTTGTGAACTTACTTGTTTATGTTTACCCTCTCTGAGAAGTAAAAACTCCTGCCAACAGAACCATATTGTCTGTAGCCTGCTGGTTACAGAAGAACTGGAAACATAGGCTGTCTTTGCCTAATCTGTGGCCTGGCTCCAATTTCAACTAGGAATGGATGAGAGCCTCTCTTCTGACCTGCCAAAATGTTAAGTAATAAATACTTGCTTGTAGGGCAATGTAGTGTTTTGATATATGTTCATGGTGCATAATTAGATCAGTGTACTCATCCATTTCCTGAAGTATCACATCCTTTTGGTGAAAACTTTGAAAATCCTTCTATCATTTAAAAATACATAGTACATTATTATCTAAAGTCACACTACTATGTTGTGATGTTTCTTGAGTGGTGGGTTGGGGCTGGTGAGATGACTTAGAGGTTAAAAGTATGTACAGCTCTTACAGAGGACCTGAGTTCAGTTCCCAGCACCCACACTGGGTAACCCACAACTACTACAATTTCATGGGGTCTAAGTGCCTCTTCTGGCTTCTGAGGACACTGCACTCACTTGTACAAGCCTACCTACCTACCTACCTACACAAAAAGTAAAATTAAAACCCACTTCAACTTGTATGTTATATATATGTATGAAGAGATGTGTGTGCACGTGTGTGTGTGTGTGTGTGTGTGTGTGTGTGTGTGCACATGCAGAGACTAGAAGGCAACATTCAGTACCTTTCTTAATTGTTTTCCTTGACTTTTGAGACAGTTGGGCTGTAATCTACACATGGCTTTTTATGTGGGTGCTGGAGATCCAAACTCATGACCTCATTGCCTGCACAATAGACACTTTACCAGATAAGCCATATCTGCAGCCTCACACTGTACACTTTTGACATGCACAATTTTTCATAATACATACCAAA